TGACTGTACGAGCAGACAGAGTTCTGAAGAGGAGCGGGAAAAGAAAAGGAGGTGGAGTGGCAGTGCTTGCCAACAACAGATGGTGCCATCCATATCATGTTTCAGTGAAATGTCGTCTCTGCAGCCCAGATATTGAACTCTTGGCAGTAAGTTGTCGCCCATATTATTTGCCAAGAGAGTTCACCAGTGTTGTCTTGGCGACCGTTTATATTCCACGTTCAGCAATTGCTGAAAGTGCATGTGATGCCATCAGTTCTGTTGTAGCTAAGCTACAAACCCAGCACCCCAATGCATTTGTGGCTATATCTGGTGATTTCGATCATGCCTCGCTCTCTGCTACACTTCATACATTTCAACAGTTTGTCAGCTGCTCCACCACAGAAAACAAGACATTGGATTTGTATTATGCAAATGTAAAGAATGCATACATGTCCAAAAGAAGACCTCCTCTGGGACAATCAGATCACAATCTTGTTTTTCTCTGCTCAGAATACAAACCACTTGTTCAGAGGCAACCTGTGACAAGAAGAACTGTGCGAAAATGGTCACAGGATGCTGAAGAAGCCCTGCAGGGTTGTTTTGAGACCACAGATTGGATGACTCTCTGCCAAAGATATGAAGAGGACATCAATGCCATGACTGGATGTGTCACTGACTATATAAACTTCTGTGTGGACAACATCATACCCACCAGAACAGTGAGATGCTTTGCTAATAACAAACCCTGGATCACCAGTGAACTGGAGAATCTGCTAAATGAGAAAAAAAGAGCCTTCAAGAGGGAGACAGGGAATTATTCAGGAGTATACAGAAGCAACTGAAGATCAAGATCAGAGACAGCAAGGAGGCATACAGGAAGAAGCTGGAGAACAAACTACAGAGGAACAATATCAGAGATGTCTGGTCAGGGATGAAGAAGATCACAGGCTTCAAGCAGAGGAAGGATTGCACAGATGGCAGCCTGGACACAGCCAATGAACTGAAAAAGTTCTTCAATAGGTTCAGTTCAGGAACAAACCCAGCATCCTCCTCTCCTGTCCCTAGCCAATCAGACATCCCATCCTCCTATGATCCAACATTTTCCTGTCACACGCCAGCTCTTTTGTCCTCTAACACAGTCATGGACTCTTCTGGTTCTATAAATCTGTCTTCAGTCAAGTCAGGAGATGCTGCTGCCCCATTTACCTCCCCTTCCCACCTATCTGTCTCTAGAAGTCAGGTGAAGAGGCAGCTGGAGAGACTGAACAGGAACAAGGCTGCAGGTCCAGATGGTGTCAGCCCCAGGATACTGAAGGCCTGTGCAGAGCAGCTATGTGGGATTCTGCAGCACCTCTTCAACCTCAGCCTGGCCCAGGAGAAGGTTTCAGTCCTGTGGAAGACATGGTCCCTTAACAAGTGGGAGGCACATATGCAAACTGTTGTAATTCCTACACCGTTCACCTGATTTGGATGTAAATACCCTCAAATAAAAGCTAACAATCTGCAGTTAAAGCACATCATGTTCGTTTCATTTGATATCCATTGTGGTGGTGTATAGAGCCAAAAATGTTAGCATTAAGCCGATGTCCCAATATTTATGGACCTGACTGTAAATATATATCTATATATCTATCTATCTATCTATCGATAGATAGATAGATAGATAGATAGATAGATAGATAGATAGATAGATATAGACATGTGTGTGTGAATATATATATATATATATATATATATATATATATATACCTAAAGACTTGTCTATGAGACAGCGGTCTAGGTGCGTCTCCAAACGCTTGTATCCTCTCCGTGGTTGATGTGTATGTATGCAGATGTCTACCGCTGTTGGCTAGTCTGAACGGTGTTGGAGGTCATGAGACTCCAGATGAGGACATTTGTAATTTTGGTTTGTTTCTGTACTTCATTCAGTCAAGTCTTCATGGAGCCAGGGCGTGATGACATCATCCGTGTAAATCTAGACCTCTGAGTTTAATTTTAAGGACAAAATGTTTGAACTTTAGAGGAAGCTTTCAGTTCTTTGAAGCTACAGAAGATGTCAGCATGAGCTGCAGCCTCCTCCCGCCGTCATCTTTAACAACCTTTCTGCTCTGATAAAATCTTCATCACTAATGGATCCTAGCGGTGTTCCTGCTCCTCTGTACCAGGAGCCTGTCTGGGGCTCCTCCCTTTATTAAAGTATCTAGGAGTGGAAATCCAGCAGCAGATATGGGGACTTCTCTGGTCTCCACGACCTCCGTCGCTGTCGCCTGCTTATGATTCAGACCTCGTCTCACCTCACAGACAGTCACTCTCACTGTTCTCCTGAGTTCCTGTGATGCTCAGCTGTGAGGTGGTGGCCACATCTTCACCGTGGCTTAGGCGGGAATTAGAAACATCTGCAGGAAAATGATCAGGGTTTAAACAACGTGGGTTTGGAAATGTTTGTTGCTTAACCTGCTTTGTTTTTCTACAGAAGCACTTTAACCTATTTTAATAACGGAGCGCTGTGTACATCCTTATCAGGAGCGGTGTGCAGAGAAAGCACCAACGGAGCATCAAAGCAGAAAGAATTCCCCAACCTACAGAATCAATTTGACCACAAACAAGCCGGCAGAGAGAATGGGAACAGTGTGGCTGAGGGGAGGAAAGAGAGAGCAGCTTTGTGAAGCTCGTTCCTCCCTCCGCAGTCAGGCCACAGAACGTTAAATTGGAGGAGAGGAATTTGCATTCTTCTAAATCGTTCTTTCTTTTCTCTGCCGACTGCTGGGAATAAAATTCCAATTGTTCAAGAACAGTCAGGTTCTCTGTCACTGAGCAGACAGAATAACACAAAATACAGCAAATCAACTAAAGAATGAACACTTCATTGACTTAGGGCCATGGTTCTAAGTTATGTTGTTACACATGAAATCTAACAGATTCTGACCACAGTAGGAATGTCTGGGTTAAGCCTGACTCATGCGTCTGCGTCAGTGCGGAGACACGCAACGCCATTATCCGTTCTTGTGGGTCTGCTGGAGAGCCCCGCAAGGATGATCGGAGTCGAGCGCTCTTTTTCTAAACATCCGTCAGTCGAGACGGAGAACACAAGCTTGTGATTGGTCAGGACGCCGCTGTCGTCTACACCGCTGTCATTGCACCCTCAAAAACATAAAGAGAGCCGAGGATAACTAGCGGCAGACACGGAGTATCTTGAAGAATACCTCACGAAAAAACTCTAGAAATATGAACGTTTAATTCCCCCGTGACTGGAGGAGTTAAAAGATGCACAGCAAGCGTTTTATTTGTGGACTGAAATGACAGGAAACGTGGGTTTAGAGGTGGCGAGCGCATGAAGAGGTGGAGGAGGATGAGAGACAAATTTGTCTGTGTTAAAAAGTCTCTTATATACAAAAACACAACATAAACACACTATCTTGGACCGATACATGACAGGATACCACAGAACAGCGCTACACCCTCTGTTGTCCTGGTGGGGAATTGCTTTGCAACACTCCCCAGGAGACGGAGAAGTATGAGAGCAAAATGTCTCCGTCCATGCGTGTGTGTCCCTGTTGGAGCTGATGGAGAAGCATGACTCAGGCTTGAGGCTTCAGAAAGAGAAACCAGGCTTGGCTTAATGAAAAACACCATCGTCAGAGTACGAGTAGCTAGCTGCTCTAACAGTCTACAGGAGTGACATCACCCAGTGTGTGTGTATACAGACACACACTTCCAACACACACTTCCAGATGTTAAGACAATGAAGCTCCTAGCCATGCATGGAGATTTCCATCCCAAATCCAGCACCCTGAGACTGCACACTAGCCGTAAGAAAGGAGGCCGAGGACTAGCGAGTGTGAGAGCCACGGTTCAGGATGAAACATCCAAGATCCATAAGTACATCAAGGATAACGCCCCAAAAGATGATGTGCTCAGTTAATGTCTCAGAAAACGGTGAACAAAGGAGGAGACGATGGAGATGCCATCATGGAGGACAAGTCCTACATGGGATGTACCACCGACAGATAACTGGAGTGGCTGAAATGAAGAAATCCTACCAGTGGCTAGAAGGAGCTGGTCTGAAGGACAGCACAGAGACACTCATCATGGCTGCACAGGAACAGGCCCTGAACACCAGAGCAACAGAGGCCAAGATCTACCACACCAGACCAGACCCAAGGTGAAGGCTATGCAAAGAGGCTCCTGAGAGAATCCACCACATAACTGCAGGTGTGAGATGCTGGCAGGGAACGCATCCATGGAACGACACAACCAAGTAGCTGGCATCGTGTAGAAACATCTGTGAAGAGTATGGACTGGAAGCCCCAAGGTCAAAGTGGGTAACGCCCCCTAAGGTGGTAAAGAACGAGAGAGCCAAGCTCCTGTGGGGCTTCCAGATCCAGACCAACAAAATGGTGATGGAGAACCAACCGGACGTTGTGGTGGTGGACAAACAGCAGAGGACAGCTGCTGTGGTTGATGTGGCGTTACCAAGTGATGCAACATCAGGAAAAAGGAACAGGAGAAACTAGAGAAGTACCAGGGCCTCAAAGAAACCCTAACCCTACCCGTGGTCATCGGGGCACTCGGGACAGTAACCGCCAGGCTGGATGAGTGGCTAAAGCAGATCCCAGGAAAAACATCTCAGTCCAGAAAAGTTAGGAGCAGCTAAGATGCTGCAGAACCCTCAAGCTCCCAGGCCTCTGGTAGAGGGCCCGAGCTTGGAAGGATGAGACCCACGGAGGTGTGATGGGAATGTTTTGTGTAATGGATGCTGTTTAGAGCTACACAATGTTACGTTTGAGCATCAACGTCGGTGTACCATGTTCCCACCCGTTGTTACGGGTTCCTGACTCGCAGCGATCGACCAATCACAATCATTCTGGCTCAGTTCACAGAAGCAGACCACGAGGGGTTGGTTATGTGAGAGTTTGTTGTTTTCTGAATTACGTCATCTATTTGATGCGTCATTCAATAACAAACTGTGCTGCTGTTAGTTCTAGCTACAAACGTGAGAATGGGGGGCAGCACTTCTTACCTGTTGGTGAATAGGTTGACTCAGCAGGGGGGCTAATACCTGTTGGGTCAGGTGTGTAAGGTTTGAATCTAATATGACGATGCTAACGGAGGTTATGAGGAAAACTTAGAAAGAAAACGATGCATCTGAAGGATATTTTGAAGGTTTTCAGCGGTTTGTGTTGGATTGTGGACATAGGACTTGTTTGGGACAAAGCTTATCATTGGAGGACATTAATTGGACCCTTGTGGACGTAAAAAGTGTGTGATGTCCTAGATGGCTCAGTTCTGTCAGTGATATGAGGCTTCGAACACTGGGAGACAAACTGATTTGGACTAATAAAAGAACAGAATATATGCTGTTCCCGGTTTTGGTGCGCGTTAGCCCGCCTAAAGCACCGCCTGCTACTGAATAGCATTTCTAATTCAGCCGTGACTTTGATGCAATGTTTTGTTCTGGTGTTTCCAAAGCTGTGGTGAGAAACACAAAACATTTACTAAAGGTAGATGACCTCAAATGTAAAAGACTCAAAACCAGATGGTGTTTTTAAACGCTGCTCAGCATCCTGAGCTCGTTATTAGTGAAGATGAGTCTGTCTCAGAATTAAGCCACAAAACCTTTTCCCTCCATTAGGAATGGTTTGGTTTGGGAACGTCGATAAAACAGGAAGCAGCACATCATTTCTTACAGTTTTAAAGAAATCAACAAACTCATTTGAATAAAATAGCTGTTCGATCGGACCTCTGCCTGGTGTCTCTGCTCAAAAACCAGTGGCAGCAGCCAGTCGTCATGACAACATAGCACTCTCAGGCAAGTCCCGCCTCCTTAAACTTCAGACCCGGAGCCCACATGTGTTCTAAATCTGGCTGGAAGGCTGGGCTGCAGCTTGGAGACAGAAGGTTGGAGCAACAGGACTCCACAGCCGAACAGCAGCTCCTGGAGAAAAAAAAAAAAAAAAGTCAAAGAGGAGGGTCAGCAAACGTCCAGGAAGCAGCTCCCAGATCAGAGGCTCGGCCAAAGTAGGCGGGCTGCGGGCAGTTAGTGGAAAAGCTGACAACTCGGCAGCGGGGAGGGGAGACAAAAACAGAGTTGGTCATTGAAGGCCTCATGAAGCTCCTCAGCTGCAGCTTTGATCCGTTTGTATCTTTCTGACGCCAGTCGGCCGTTAGCGGCGCTCACCAGGAGTCCAGAGGGGAGTGAAAGGCCAGGAGATAAGGAGAAAGAAATCATGGTGAGTCTGGTTTCATGGATCTGATTACATGTGGTCGTTGGTGGGCGGGGAGGTGGGCTGAGCTCAGCTTATCGCTGCAAAAAGTGGACAAATTACATTCAACTTCCTGTTGGACAACTGAAATTACAACAATACTATCTTCCTGGTGGGAATACAGAAGTCAGGCAGCAGGATTTATCCGGGCCGAGTGGGAAGTTCAGAAGAATTCTGTCTGATTCAGAAACAGACGTGTGATTCCTAAGACAGGGAGTGAATGTGTGGGCTGCCCCCCCCCCCCCCCCGCGCTTATCCCACAACATTCCCAACAACACATTTGGTTTCAATCACCTCGTCCCCTTGGGAATCAACTGCTATAAATAAACAACCAGGAGGAGCGAGTGGACGTCACCATCTGGTCCAACTCAGAATCGACTCAGGAGGGGTCAGAGGTCAGGAGAAATCACTTAATAAAATCAGTTAATAAAAAGCTATATTTAAACCTCCACGGGGCGTTCAGAGGTATGCAGAATTAATGTACATTTTCCTTTTGAAGCTTCTTTTAAAAAGATAAATAATGACATTTTTATTCTGTCGGGCACGGCGCTGTTTATGTTTACATCCACCAGCCACTAGAGGGTGCCGTTGTGCTCAAAAGTCCGCTAGCAAGGCGAGGCCGGGACTGTGAAAAGGCGGATTGACAAGTCAGGCAGCTGCTTCTGAGCCCAGAAGATGTTCTAACGGTAAATACCAGAGGTGTGACCAAGTCACTGCTTTGCAAGTCACAAGTCTGTTCAGTCAAGTCTCGACTCAAGTCCAGACAACCAAGTCCAAGTCAAGTCTAAAGTCAATGATCTGGAAGTCCAAGTCAAGTCCAAGTCCTTAACTTTGACTTTTCAAGTCATATTCAAGTCATCTGTCCAGCTTCAATTTAATGACAATGATAATGAATAAATTCCAGAAATAAAACTTCTTAAAGCTTCGTTTGTTTGCTCAAACAAGCAGAAAGTGCAACTGAAATAGATTATAAACAAAGTGCTGCTGCATTTAGCAGTAAATCAAACCCAGAACCAAGAATGATTTATGATTTTTGTCCATGTCGTGCTACTTTTGTGCTAAAATATCAATAGTGCTTATTGTCATCGTCAAGTCAACAGATGGAAGTTGATTCAAGTCGCAAGTCATTGGCGTTCAAGTCTGAGTCAAGTCGTAAGTCTTAAAAGATTTTATCAAGTCAAGTCAGAAGTCATTAAAATAATGACTTAAGTCTGACTCGAGTCCAAGTCTTGTGACTTGAGTCCACACCTCAGGTAAATACTGTTGTAAAACAAACCTATTAGTAGAAACGAGTCCGTATCCTGTACGACTTGTCTCTGACCACAGTGCTGGAACGTGTCAGCAGTGACCCAACATCCCAGCGGCTGGAAAATGTGTCCTGTCATTGCGATACCACCTCTGAACCCCAGAGGTCGCCAGATAGTCCGTGTTCAATAGTCAATTCAATTCAATTCAAGTTTATTTATATAGCGCCAAATCACGACAAGAGTCGTCTCAAGGCACTTCACATAATAAACATTCCAATTCACAATTCATTAAGCCAATCAGAAATAATGTTTCCTATATAAGGAACCCAGCAAATTGCATCAAGTCACTGACTAGTGTCAGTGACTATACAGCAATCCTCATCCTAAGCAAGCATGCAGCGACAGTGGAGAGGAAAACTCCCTTTTAACAGGAAGAAACCTCCAGAGGATCCTGGCTCAGTATAAGCAGCCATCCTCCACGACTCACTGGGGATGTCAACCTTTAAGTTGTTATAATTTCAATAAAATCTCGCAAAAAAAATGTTAAAAGTAAAACTTCTTTAACTTTCAGCACAAAGTAAAAAAAAGCTGGCCTTAAGCTCTGATGACGTAATAACAAAACGATGTTTTACTTTTTTAACTTACATTAAAACAGAACTATAATTTATAAGCTAGTCGCCTCCTGAGGAATTTTCTCTGTTCAAGCTAAAACAGAACCAAGCTTTCAAAGGTCAACTTCACAGAAAACCATGTTTTATTACTAGCTCTGATTATAATGGGTTTACCATGCAGGCTGAATGTGGTAGTGCCGTGTTAATGTTAGCCAATCAGAGGAGAGATGTCCCAAAATCAGGAAGACTCCAAATCCTTCTGACTGAAGCTAAGCTGTGATGTGGCTCCCATTTGGTTCCCGAAATAGGCGCACCAGAGCTTTTTTCCCCCAGAGTACGACTTACAAGGCATTCATTCCTACTAGAGACCACCGCACCTGAGTGAAGTTAGTAATATTTAAACGTAGCGAGACCTTCCTTAGCACAAGTGAGGTTACAAATCCTGAGCTGAGGCTCCCAAACAGAAGCTAGGAGGTGTCGTGTGCCCTGGGACCTTTTATAGGAGTAAGCAAGACTTCAGTTTTTCTTTACTTATAAATAATGTTTGAAATTGGAAAAATTAAAACATAGAAAAGGATTTAAGGGAGAAAATAGGAAGGAAAAGACAGAAAATTAGGAAAAAGGAACGTCTGGAGGTGATAATCAAAAAGAGGAAATGAAAAGCAGAGAAACCATAATAAATAAAATCCGACTGAAACGTGTGTCCCTCTGAGACTCGGACCTGTATAACGAGCCATGTTTCTGGTCCCAGCAGCAGCTGTCGGTCCTCGTGGAGATATTTTAGGAACCGAGTCAGAACTTTAAATATCCTGTGACCCGGCTGACTGTCTTTGAGTCTCGTAGACCCACAACAGAACCGATGTCAGCCTTCAGGTCTCCAACAGATCCATAAAACAAACAACCAAACAAAAAACGTGATTCTGATCCAAGCGTGAAACACGGTGGAGCAATGTGGGATTATTCAGATGAAGTTATCGATCTAGTTCAGTTTGGTTCTCATTATTGGGGATCGAGTGGAATAATATGACTAGATGATGCAGGACGCATCAGGATGAAAGTACCGGAGGTGCGTCTTTGATCCGTGACGAACTCCACCGCTGTTTTGCTTTGGTTCATCAGACAGAGAGGAAGTTCTCCTCAAGTCCAAATGAAACCCAAACGGCCCTGAAAGCTTGTTATCATATTTGTATGACAGGTTGACAGTGCCCACTGTTATTACAGATTTTAGCCAAACTGACTTCCACCACAAAGCTTTTCAGCTTTTAAAGTCACCCCCTGCCTTCAATAAATAACCAAGCGGAGGAGTTAACTAACTCCTAAAGTTGTTTTTCTCTCTTCACTCCGAAGTTAAACACCAGTCAGTCTGACAATAAGTGTTTTATTCTTTCCAGCGGCGCCGTCCGGCTTCCCAGCTGATTGTTCTCAGTGTGAAACCTGCAAACACACATTTTAAAACATGACAATCATGTTTAGAGAAAGCCAAATACTTCCAAAAGGCGATACATCCACTTCATTTTGTGTTCACAGTTCAAACGTGTGAAATGTCTCAGATTTAATGACAGCAATCAGCCTCTGGAGAACAAAGCCAGTGATGTGAGTTGTGTCGGGTTACAGGTCTGAGTGGCAGATAAATGTGTGTTTGATGGAAATCGGCTCCTTCTGCTCTTTCACTCTGATAATTATCTATGTGTGTGTGTGTGTGTGTGTGTGTGTGTGTGTGTGTGTGTGTGTGTGTGTGTGTGTGTGTGTGTGTGTGTGTGTGTGTGTGTGTGTGTGTGTGTGTGTGTGTGTGTGTGAATTATGCAGTCAGGTTTAAGTTTGAGTCGTTCTGAAACTCCAAGTTGTTCTTGTCTGTTTCATGTCGCCAGCTCCAGTTTGAACCGTCAAACCTTCAAAAATCACTGATGATTTTTCAGATTGAAATTCCACCTTTTTTTAAATTGTCCCATTTAGCCTGAACATTTCACACCTCTGATGCAGAATCGATCCCATCTGAGACCCGTTTGTCTCCTTTTCTTTTATTTTCTCTACATTATTCATTCTTTTATGTTGGATTTTAAAGGTGTGGCTCACTGGAAAAACATTTTTTATGATAATTTCTGATTCTAACGGGTCACTCTGATTTTAAACATGCAGGCTGAACATGAAAATAGTCTCCTACACCTATCTCCTGCATTAGCTTCTAATAGAAAACAGATGGTGAAACTCTAGGATTAGAAAATCCTGACAGATCTACGTCACACTGTCACTAACATTCATGGATTCACCCATCTGACTCATGACAGGCAAGGATGTTGTTGGTTTAGCGTCCAGGAAACAGCAGAGAACGTCTATGCTAGTCGAAGCTAACCGCTAGCATTAGCAACTCCACCACACAGCAGAACTCCTCCAGGCTTGTGTTATTTGTGGAGATACAACATCAACGTTGCAGAGCAGACAGAGTCAGTGGTAGAGTCGTGTTGCTCTTAGCCAATCAGAGGAGAGGTGTCCAAATACCAGGAAGCTCAACTCTGATCTGTCTAATTTCTACTTCCTACTATCGCGAAGTGCTAATTCATGCGAGCATCAACAGAACTTGTGCATGAAACTTTTTTATTTCAGAATTTTTAAGTTAATTTGAAATTTTAAAATAATCTATGAAAGGTAATTGGTTGAGATAAATCGGTATCAGGTCAGAAAGTGAGGGATCGGCCCTCAGAACCAGAAACGGTGCCTTTCTGCTCTTCAGCCTGTTCACCATTTCTACTTTAAATATTCATTTTGGAGAGATTTAACTCTTTGGTTTTAAGTAAAACATGTTTTTGTAATACTTATGAAAAACACATTTAAGAATAAATGTTTAAATACTTTTCCTGATTATGTGTATGTGTAGTTTGCTTCATAGGCAGGTTAGGAGCTAGTGTTGATGTTTAGGGTAATAACTCGTGTTAAAGTGGTGCACCGTTGTCTTTAGGAATGTTGTAGAAAAGCTCAAAATGTCCTGGTCAGTTCTTACAGTTTACACATTTTTATTGTCTGCTCCTGTTTTCTGTCTGAGATCTTTGTTTCTATTTGTCTGTGGAACCAAACTTCTGCTCTAAACAGCTCCATATCTCATTTAGCCTCCTTA